GGCTTGGTGAACAGGAGCAAGGAGGAACAAGGGGACAAAATTGTCCTCTCCCCTCAGCAGAGTTGTGTGTGCAGAACAGGAAGTTTTCAGCTCCTCCTTTCTTCTCACTCCAACCCTTCAACACATGCAGCTGTTCTTCCTTTTGGGTCCCACAGCCCTGGGGCTGATCCCTCCAGGGATCAGAAAGAGCCACACTAATAGAGAGGGATGTGAGGGAATGATACCTTCTTCACATTTCTAGCATTACTGTCCTGCCTTTCCCCAATGCACCTCTATAAACCATATTTGAATTTTTGGATGAGTAAATCCTTCAGGAATTCATAATAATTGTACTGAAACATAATAACTGTACTGAAATGTGAATAATACATCATTTTCAGTCTGATACCCCTTTATTCTTTTTCTCCCTTAATCTTCCTGTCTCCCCCACTCCTGCCCTCCTAGGGGAAGCAGACTGCAAAGAGATTGGCGACTGTGTGCCAGGATCAGGATCCACATCTACAGATTTGTGCCTTCCTGCTCTTGATTATCTCAGGCGTTGTTCTCAGGTGTGCTAAACAATGTAATTATGCAGTTTAAAGCCACTTCACACAGAATGGCCACCACATGGTAACTGCTTGAAACTGCATCCATGGAGGGTTAGGGTCTGCTGTATTCAATGAACCTTTCATCTGAACATATCTACTGCGTAGATTGGTCATAGCCTGGAGGAATCTGCTTAGTGAGCCACTGTACATGAATGGCCTGCTTTTCAGGATAACCAGTACATGGATGCTATTTCTAGATTATATATTCCAGACTAAAAGAGTTCCAGTCTTCTCATATGAAAACTCCCTCACACAGGGTTTCATTCTTACACCATATGGATGATCTTTTTTTCATTCATGTGTCTGAACATTTGAATCCACCCCACCACTCGAAAAAAGTCCCAGAATTACATTCTTCCTTAGAACCAGAAGTCATTTTGGGGGGGATCGCAGTTCCCCCGGGTTAGGTATGGGGGACGGGGCACATGATGAAGCCCCGCCCCCTGCTTCCGGCCGCCCCGCTTCCGGCCCTCATTCAGCCAAGAGGAGGCAGGAGAAGAGGGAGGGTAAGTTGCTTCCTCCCTGCCTCTCCCCACCCCTGCCTGCCTGGGGGCAGGGAGGGCCTTCGCGGGGCTTCCTTGCACTCCCGCCGGCCTTGCAGGTCCACTGCAGATGTAATCCCCGCTCTCCCCCAAAATTCCATAATGCTTTACCAGTTCAATTGTCTCAGTTACCCTGGTCACTCCACCTGTCTTCTTTTGATTTTTTTCTCTTTTCCACCCTGAGAGTCAGTGACAGTGTAAGTGGTTAGAGAGTCAGACTAGTATCTGGGAGATCCAGGTATTAACTCTCCTTCTGCCATGGAAGCCTGCTGGGTGACCTTGAGCCAGTCAAACATTCTCAGCCTAACTAGAGATGTACCACAGCAGTGCAGGCACTAATGGCTGATGCAACTGTCTCTGCCATGACAGGAGAGACAGCAGGGAAAATCTTACCTGCAGTGTGTGCCAAACTTCTTACCTGCAATGTGTGCCAAAATGAGCTCTACAGGCACTTCATTTTCCCACAAGGAATATGCAGTTTCCTCTGCAGGCCCTGGTTTGAAGTTGCTAGACCCTAATAATGAGTTCATCTGCCTAGCTTTATTCTAACAAGTGGAAAAGTTTAAGCTTAACCTTTGAGTGTTAACAGTGCAAATTCAGCATTCACCTTGCAGTTTCCCCTCTTTGGCTGATGCAAGCCACAAAAAGAAGAGACAGTTTCACTTAATTCTTGGAGTATTTTGCTCCTAAAGTTCTCCTGATACTCAGAGACATGTTTTGGAGCAAACTGTTAATTCCTTGGGGAAGGGGAAGCTGGGGAAATATGTACTCTGCCAGCCCTTCCACAAACTCTTCCACTGGATCTAGGCCATTGTGCTTTCCTTTTCTTGTGACAATTGCACTAAAGCCTGAACAAAGAGCTGAGGCAAATTCTCAGTGCACATGTAACCTTAGAAGATAGGATACCAAAAGATTTTAGGAGAATAGTTTCTTGACTATGCGGCTTTTCCACATGATGCCTTGAATTTTTGCAAAGTAATGTGAGGCCATGCTGGAGAATGCCCCAGTCATCTTATTATTTGTATGTCTCTTTTTAGTTGCTTGCCAAAATCTACAAAATGCCCATGAAGCCTATTTTTCTCACTGGGAGACTTGCTAACTTACCTCAGAGAATACAGGAGAGATCTGCTAGCAGTGAGGAGGGCATTGAGTGTGTATTATCTGATTTTGATGATGATACAGGTAAGAAAAATTACTGTGTGGCTCTAAAGAAGAATTCATCTAAATAGTAGTTACGTAGTTAGGTATGTGCATTTGGCTATTAACTGGTCAAAAACCCAACAAAAAGTGCTCTTTTAACTAATATGTTTATTGTAACTGATCTTAATTGGGGAAAAAAATCAAAGGGCATGAGGAGCAGGTGTAGGAATTTGATAAATGTGTGTTGTTTGGTGTGAGTAATGAGAAAAGTGAATTATTTTGTCACTGGAGATTGGGTTAAGGGTTCAAGAGAGACCAAAGAAGACTAGTTCAGACAGCATACGTTCAAGTAACTTTGTTTTCCTGCACACCCTGCATCTGACTGATATCTAACAGAGTGATCCCAAGCAGAGTTACAGCTTTCCAAGAAATCTGCAACACTGCTTAGGATTGTACTCTACATCAGGTGTTATTGGGAGTCAGGAAGACACTGAAATTATCACCACCACACTAATAAAAACAAAACAACATAGTGAAATTACTAGGAATCCATTACCTAGCAAAACCTCTTAGAGTTTCCTGTTATAAATAGCTTTTACAGTATCACTTGTGCAGAGTTCATTATACATACCTTTCTTTTTCCTAGGCCTTATTAATGTTTGGATCATTCTGCTAGAAGAGTTGACAACTGCCATATCCAACTGCCCCCGTCAGCATCAACCTCCCACTTTGGATTTGCTCTTTGAGTTATTGAGGGATGTTACCAAAATACCAGGTAATTAACTATGTTTATTGGTATGATGGACCCCTGCTGCTGGTTTTTCTGTGAGGCAGATTTTCCTGCCAAAACACTAGATAGCTGTTCCCCACTCTGTCTAGGCAGACCCTTGGTAGCATGTGGTAATAAACAGTTTATGACGTTCTGAGTGTCCCATCCTGTGGTAGAGAAGATATTTGGCTTTTGCTCAGGCCAGAGATAAGCAGGAGCCCACTTGTTATTTCCTTTATAAATGGCACTTGACACAAAGTAAAGTTCAAACAGGAATGATGACTTTATTAAATAGGCACAGTTGGATTAGGAATAGGCAGGGGATGGGAAAATTGAGGTAATTTTTGTCGTATTTACAAAATATGATATTTTGAACAGGCTACAAAGTATTGTTGAAGATTAGTTTCTTAGAGACTGAGTTCTTAACAGTGAGAGGTTTGTTTGTCTTGGAGATTTCATAACCGTAACAATGTGTCTTAATAAAGATTCATATAACTATCTTAGTTTCCTGGAGATTAGTACTTTCTTCCTGTACATATTCTCCCTCACTGTGGGATTACAGTTTTCCCTTCGACTCTAGAGTCTAAGGCCATTTCCTTTTTCACCCAATCCAGGGGTCCCTTCAGAATTGAACCCATTTAATAGCTTAGAAGAAAATATTCTCCTTTTCCTAGAAGCTATATTCCCTTTTCTGTTTGGCTAAACTGGCAGCTTAAACTACTGACCAATCTCTTCTGCCAAACCTGACCTTCAGTTCTTGACCCAGTGAATTACATGGTCTTCAGCTTGCCTGACACTTAAACTAAAGTTCTTGTTCGGAACTTTTCCTCAGATTTGATGGCACACAGTAAGGACATGAAGTTGTGTCCCTTCGCTACACAAGTGAACTTGTACATTTCCCTCTGACAGACGCAGCAACTCCATTTGTCTGGCTTCTGACATGCCCTTAAAGCTCTCCTCAGCTGGTAATGACCAATCAGTAGCCTGTCAATCAACATGTGCTTCATAGTGAGGCATTAACCCTTTAATCTTCTTGCTCTCTGAATTTGATGCACTAAGCATCCTGCGTTTGGAAGTCAGTACATCACAACTGGCTTATACAAATAGCATGTCAGATTTTGTTTCTGGCTGCAGATATTGCTGTTGTAGATTTCCCCCTCCCGTTTCTTTTTTGAGTGTGTTTCAAGTCAAGACATATTTCATCCAGTTTGTGTTATTTATCCTCCAGGTCCTGGATTTGGTATTTATGCAGTGGTACATCTTCTGCTCCCTACAATGTCCCTGTGGCTCCATCGTAGTCATGGTGATCATTCTTACTGGGATGCGGCATCTGCTAATTTCAAGCATGCTATTGGCCTTTCATGCGAACTAGTGGTGGAACACATCCAAAGTTTTATACATTCAGGTAAGAAACGATATTCTCAACAACATAACTTTTTGCTCTAAACAAACACGGCTATTTGCTCTGTATGGCAGTGGTCTTCAAACTGTAGCAATCAAAAGGCTTCCATTTTGATTAAAATCTTTTTGTGGACATCCCCTCCCCCAAATTCTCCCCTCATGCTTAGTAAAACCATGTATGCTCTGTAGAACTTTCATATTCTTTTATGCTCTCAAAATAATAAGTGAAACCCTTATCAGCTATACTTCAAAAGCAAGTTTAATTTTAAAAATGCTTTTATTGTCTGGCATGGTCTACAAGGCTAGGTTTAGAAAAAAGTTGATTTTAGAAAGCCACAACTCAGAAAGCACCTACCCATGTTCTAATCAGTCTCACTCCTAGATTGCATTGGAAGGGACTTTGCATTACAGAACGCAAAAACCCCTTTCTTATTTGTTGGGAAATACAGTGAGAATCTTTTCAGTTTTATCTTAGAAGTAACTGTTATGACTGCCTTAGAACTGTGCCTTCTTTTTGGCAGCCAGACAATCAGAGTTCATAGGGCTGAGCTATTGGTGCTGAGCAACCAATCCGTTCACTTTCTGGCTAGTACTCTGAGGTGATCTGGCAGCTCCCATTCTTCAACAAAGAAGAAGACAATTTTATCCCTTCCCGAGGTGAAGAGTACCTGCTCCATGGATGTGTCATGAAAAGGACTTGCATCCCAGTTTGAGATGTGCTTTTCTACACCATAATCTGTACCTTCTAACATGGCTTATTAAGGCAGAGTGGGAACAGATTAAATTCCCAACTGTATTTTCAGTGCAAGGTAATTGTGAGTAGAGAATCAGGGGTGAGGCGGTGATAGTTACCTGATATTTGTTGTATTGTTGTGCATCATAATGGGTTGTCGGAATAATGGGTGCTTACACGTTCTCCCTGTTTACCAACATGGATTCTGTCAAGGTGGAGAAAGAAGTGTCAGTAGCTCTAGTAGGGTTTACAATTACATGTACAAAAAACTCAGGTAAGTTTCAGCAGTCAGGACAGTTTTGTTGAGACTAAGGAAGGGATTAAAATAATGAACTTTTTGACCATGTGTGAACTGTGGCTACTAGCCTTGGCTGCATAGTCTGATGACACTTATGCAAAAGCAGCATATAAAGTTGAATATGTGGTATTTTTGATTATAAATGGGCTAATAACAATAATTTGCATGCAGTATAATCAGTATAATCAGTATTGTGAGCAGAGGAAATTCACAGTGTGAGTTCATTGTTTTTGAATTTCACAGCATCAGACTGTTTATTGTTGGGTTTTTTCCATACTTGGAGATAGTGAGAAAAGTCTACTGTCTCATTGGTTTGTATTAAGGTTTCAAAAATGTAAATTTAAATGTATATAACATTGGAAGCTGATTCAGGGAATTGTAAGGCAGGAGTGCCAGGCCCAGCTGTATTCTTCAAATGCAAGTTTCCAGCGCCAAGCCAGGTATGAGCATATAGCGTATAGCCCCTGCACATCATGGCATACATTCACTGACGCACAGCTGGTCAGCTCAAACCACTCAACAAAAGACAACTTTTCAGGGGAAACCAATGCAAAAACACAAAGTTCTACCTGAACTTCCTATGGCAGCTGTCACAGAACTGAAGAGCTGGAATGGGCCAGGACATAAATTGACGCTATCAGTTGCCTCAATACAAGATCCCAGGCAATTCAGTATCCAAAATATTCTGTCCCCAAAACAAGCAGGTTCAGTAAAAAGAAAATTACAATTGTTGCAAGGGATTAAAAAGTTGTTTCAAACCACCTCCCCTTCTTTCACAACATATACATTCATGTTCTTTCTCTCTCATGTATATGCATATGAAAACAGTTCTGTTCGCTAAGGCCAGTGATCCATTTAGTCCAGCATCCCATTCCACACAGTGGACAACCAGAGGCCACTGGAAGGCTTACAAGCCAAATTTTCTGTCTATTGTTGCCTCCCCCTTTAGCCACTGGTATTCAAAGATGAAGATGGAGGTTCTAATTAGTCATCATAGCTAATAGCCTTTGATGGACATATCCTCCATGAATTTGTTTAATCCACTTCTCCAGCCATATATATGAATGGCCATCACTAATCATGTGGTAGTGAGTTCCTCAAATAAATTATTCTTCACTCAAATAATTATTAATCTCTCTTCAATCTACTGTCTATCAGCTTCATGACCCACCTAGCATGTTCAGTCATTCAAGGATACAGCAAATTAATAATGACAAACTCCAAACCAAGGGTGATTGCTGTAAGAAGTTCACACATACATAGAACAAAGGAAAAATTGTCCGTCTTTGAAGATATGAATTGTGTTTAGTAGAGCTACTCATAGCCAGCACGAGAACGAGGTCTATACAGATACAAATGGGATTGCTATACTACTGTTATTGAATATAACCTTTTGAATTTTGAGCTGCTAAGCCTAGTGATTTTTCTCACAAGAGTTGTTATGTATTCTTCCTGATTTACATTGATTTTGTTGCTATGGTTGAAATGATTGTTGTTATATGAAACTTTAATAAAAATATTAAAAAATAAAAAGACCACCTAGCAAAACAGGGCTGCTGGGCTTTCTAAAATATTTAAGGTTTTGTGCATTTCAGCTGTGCAAGGCTTGAGGCAGGGAATGTTATTTTGTGTGTGTATATAATTTTTATAAAACCTTAAAACTATATATTCTTCTACTATGTAAATCTACTATGCCAGGTTTGATACCAAAACTAACACTTTTATTTTTTCTGTAGATATTGGTTATGAGAATATGATCAATGCAATGCTGAAAGACCTCTTCAAGTTACTGGTAGCTTGTGTGGCAGAACCCACAGAATCTATCTCAAGAGTTGGGTGTTCATGTATCAGGTAATGTAGATTTTCCTTTCCATATTCATTAACGCATTAAAAGAACAAAGTAAGGGAAAACTTTTTTATTAGACAGTCTAATATTGGCTGTCCATGAAGAGAACACCTGAGTTTCCATTATCACAACACATGGCTGGACTGATATGTGCTGTTGAACACAGCAACATACAGACATTCCTCCTTGCTGCCGTTCTACTATATCTAAGCAGGGTATATTATTTTTACTTAGGTATAGCCCTAAAGGTATAGCCCTAAAGGTATAGCCAGTTTGGTGTAGTGGTTAAGTGTGCGGACTCTAATCTGGGAGAACCGGGTTTGATTCCCCACTCCTCCACTTGCACCTGCTGATGTGACCTTGGGTCAGTCACAAGCTCTGGCACAGCTGTCCTTGAAAAAGAGCAGTTTGTGTCAGAGTTCTCTCAGCCCCACCAACCTCACAGGGTGTCTGTTGTGGGGAGGGGAAGGGAAAGGAGTTTGTAAGCCACTCTGAGACTCCAAGTGAAGGGTGGGCTATAAATCCAATCTCCTCCTCCTCTTCTTCTTCTTCTTCTTCGAAGCTGGGGTTTGGGAGAGATGATATTTAAAAAGGGATGGTATAAAAAAGGAGAAAATGGAGCTCAATTTGAAAAGTGGAGTAAGATGGTATTTAGCCAATTAATAAAATAATCACTTTATTATTTTACCCAAGCCAAGACCTCCCTTGGGTGGCTAGGGTTAAACTTGACTTTTCATCTCTGGCTACTATCTAAGGGGAAACTTGGTGCCTAACATAGATTGTTCTGTTTTTAGGTATGCAGGTTTCATGGTGCGGAAGCTAGGGGTTTTTTTGTATATGCAGTTCAGGACAGACAAAAGGACATACTACTTTACACAGAAAGTGATTAAAAATGTGGAATTCACTGCCAGAGGAAGTAGTGATGGCCACAGGAATAAACAGCTTTAAAAGGGGATTAGATACTCATGGAGGATATGCCTATCAATGGCTACTAGCCATGGTGACTGAGGGGGACCTCCACATTCAGAGGTACTAATCCTCTGAATCTCAGAGCCAGGAGGCAACATCAGGGGAAGGCCTCAGCTTCTATGCCCTGTTGTTGGCCCTCCAGAAGAAATGGTTGGTCACTGTGTGAGACTGGATGCTGGACTAGGTGGACCATCGGTCTGATCCAGCAGGGCTCTTCTTATGTTCTTAGTATAGGTGAAACATTGTTAATAGAATCTGAAACCTGGAGGGAAAGAAGGGCTGTGACATTTTGTTCATATTGCATTTAGTTCACTAACTAGCTTATGAACCAGAACATTGTAAACAAAATTTTAAACGAAAAAGAAAAAACTAGCAAGCAGTATGCAATTATTCTATCCTGGGAGGGAAAGCGTTCTCTTTTAGTGGCCAGAAGGGAAAAATTTGGACTTCGACACCCTTGCACAAAGTTACCAAGTGACTAATAAAATCATCAGACTATAACTGCTTAACACAATCTACTTTCCCCCTCCCCTTTTCAAACTGAGCTCTGTTTCTTGCCAAAATGGGAAGCACACTGTGGGATATTATTCTTCATGAAATGTATCTAACCTGGGTTAAAATTGGTTTAAAGTCCTTAAACCAATCACTGAACCACTCTTTAAAGCTAGCATCTGAACAAAATGGAAGTGGGGAGTTAAATAATTACCACTGAACCGAGTTTTTAATGCTCTGAGTCCCTGAATTTTCAGCACCATATTGCTTCATTGGCTTTCTTCTTGTTTGCAGGTATGTACTAGTGACAGCAGGTCCAGTTTTTACAGAAGAGATGTGGAGGCTGTCGTGCTGTGCATTACAGGATGCATTTTCAGCTACTCTTGAACCGGTGAAGGTATAACCTGCAATCTACTGGATGCTGCAGCGTGTGTTGCTGTCCCCCTACTATTATTTGCTTAGATAGGCTGCTCAGTTTATGTATGCCTGTAATACCCACATGCACCATTGCATCCACATGGATGGCATATAAGCAGACACTAGATTTTCTGCAATGGTAGCCTCTTGAAAAGTTGTCACTGCCATAATAGAAATCCTGGTAGTTAGTATAGACTTACATGAGGAGCACATCACTGTAAGCCTGGTCTGGAGCCCACTGCTTGCATGACGTCCTAGTTATCTTCTCTCAGCCTCAGTAAATCAGTCCAGAGTCACGACAGGGCTATTTTTGGGCAGGAACACACAGGAACGGAGTTCCGGCTGGCTCCCAAGTTGGCCACGCCCAGCAGGAACTCATTAGCATAATAGGCCACACCCAACAGCAGAAACTCATTAGGATTGGCTACATTAGGGGTGTGTGGCCTAACATGCAAAGGAGTTCCTGCTACAAAAAAAGGCCCTGGGTTTTGACAACAAACAAGGTAAACAGAACAAGCAAAAGGTGGGTGTGGCTGGATGAGCACACTTCTGGTAACATGGGGGTGCGGCCTAATGTGCTAATGAGCTGTGCTGTCAGGGGTGTGGCCCAATATGCTAATGAGTTCCTGCTGTTGGGTGTGGCCTATTATGCTAATGAGTTCCTGCTGGGCTTTTTCTACAAAAAGAGCCCTGCATGTAAAGAAGTCTGTTCCCTTTTGTAGTATAAAGCCCGTTGTGCAGAATGCATGATGTGGGCAAAATCTCACCATCTGGCATTAACTGCCAGGAAATCATGCATCAGCTCCACCTCAAAGGGTATTTGTTGCAGGGTTTGGAAAGTGTGTTAAACGTGTGTGTGAGAGAGAGACTGTCTGATTTTGGCTTAATAGCACAGCCTTACTCTTTATTTCATGAATGTAGGATAGACTGTTTGGCAAACAGGATACACAGTGAATACCCAACGTTGTGTTTCTTGTAGAATTTGTTGGGCTACTTCCACAGCGGTTCTGAAAACTTCAGCGGTGACGCCTGTGAAGTGAAAGTGGCAGCCCCTTCTCTCTCTCCTAGTGCTGAAGCAGAGTATTGGAGAATCCGGGCCATGGCCCAACAGGTAAAAGGCACCTTCCCTAAAGCAGCATCCACATAGTGAACAAATAGAAACAAATAGGGATCGAAACACGTGGACGAACCGTTGTCAGGGATGCTCTAGGCTGATCCTGCACTGAGCAGGGAGTTGGACTAGGTGGCCTGCATGGCCCCTTCCGACTCTATGCTGCATGGCCCCTTCCGACTCTATGATTCTATAGAATGCACTTTAAATTTAAGCATTTCGAGCGTGGGTGCTGTTTTGACACTCCAAGTGAAGTAAGTGGGACTTCCAAGTGCTTACCTCAGGCTATGTTGTGTGCTGTGGGTTTTCCAGTGAGATCAGTTTACCTTCCAACCACCCCTTTCAATATCTCGAGTATGTTCTTCTACTTAGATAACTTGGTAATGGTAACAAGTTATATATTCAGGGATGGAAGATTGCACTTAATGCCCTACCTTGAGTTGAATTCTGGGCCCTGATTTTCTTGATTAAGAAGGTTCAGAGGCTTTAAACCCTGTCCTTGCAGTCAGTGGTTCTGTAAGCAACCATACTTAGGTTTGGTGGAGGCACTATTTGTTACACTGTATGCCCTTTACTATTTTTTAGAAGTATGCTTGCGATACTGGGTCAAAGATGTACAAGTAACGGCCTTGTACTGACTGACAGCATTTGTCCATCTAATCCGTTACTGCCTGCTCCATATTCTGAATGAATACAGTTCCTGTTCATTTACATATTGCTGCACTGCTCTAACTACAGGATACATTGATCCCAGGTTCATACAGCAGTCCAGATGAGGACCACTGCACCTGGGCAGAGGTGGCTTAAATCTTCTCCCTTTTCCCTCCTCCTGTTCTGACCCTAGTGAGATTCTATGTGCCCCACTGAGGAAACATGCTTGTGGGCCTTTGCTGCGTACATAGCTAGTGTTGCCAACCTCTGGGTGGTGGCTGGAGATCTCCTGGGATTACACTTGATATCCAGGCAACAGGGATGTTCATCCAGAGGAAATGGATGCTTTGGAAGATGAACTCTATGGCATTGTAAGCCATTGAAGTTCCCTTCCCTTCCCAAAACCTGCCCTCCTCAGGCTGCATCCCCAAAATCTCCAGGTATTTCCCAACTTGGAGCTGGCAACCCAAGCCCACAATAGGGGAAATAGTGGCTGCCCGTGACTGTGAGTTTGGAGAAATGGCCCAAGGGCCCTCTCCACCAAGCACCATG